TACTTAACCATTATAAATGGACAACAAAGAGAGATAATGGAAACACTTGTTGTCATATAACTTTATGGTCTATCCTCAATAGAACATTCAAAGTAATTATTTTTAAATTAAAATTTACCATTACCTTTGTGTAAGTTCCATGTATATTTTATTCACTACAATATCCTGGCACATGATAGTCATTTTGTAAACATTTGATAAATTAATGAATGCGTAACTGTTAAATACTATGTTAAATGACATTGAATTGTTTAAACGTATATAACTCATTAAGGTAGCATAATTGTTCATTTGTATCTTTTTTTTTTTTTGAGACGGAGTCTCGCTCTGTCGCCCAGGCTGGAGTGCAGTGGCCGGATCTCAGCTCACTGCAAGCTCCGCCTCCCGGGTTCACGCCATTCTCCTGCCTCAGCCTCCCAAGTAGCTGGGACTACAGGCGCCCGCCACCTCGCCCGGCTAGTTTTTTTGTATTTTTTAGTAGAGACGGGGTTTCACCATGTTCGCCAGGATGGTCTCGATCTCCTGACCTCGTGATCCGCCCGTCTCGGCCTCCCAAAGTGCTGGGATTACAGGCTTGAGCCACTGCGCCCGGCCTATTTGTATCTTTTTATAGCTTACGTATGAAAGAGGAAAAATTAAATTAGGATTAATTTGGAGCTGCCATTGAGTTCCTTCTATATATAAAATACTTCACCGAATCTGACAAAAACTCAAGTCAACTAGGCTCTGAGAGTAAAATTACTTGCTTTTGGTCACCCAGCTAGTAAGTAAGCCTAGTCAGTTTTACCTTTGTCTGCCCTCTGCCCTGTCCTCTTTCGGTGCTACCAAGGAATTCTGAGTCCAGTTGATAAATTTGTGTAGCTGTTAGAATATTCAAAAGAGACCAAAATAAGACAAAATCTCATGTGGTAGCCAAAGCATTGAGTTGACATATGCAATACATTATGGAGTAATTTAGCATCAATATTTTCTATTAGAAAATGTGAACAGTTTTTATATTAAAACCTGTGCTTCATTCTATTGCAGAGTGAGATGAAGGAACTCCTTAATACACATACAATACTTGCACAAAGAAAGAAGTCCAAATCCATCCTAGTTTTTTTTTTTTCTTCTTTTTCTTTTTTGATGCGATCTAGGCTCACTGTAAGCTCCACCTCCCGGGTTCACACCATTCTCCAGCCTCAGCCTCCAGAGTAGCTGGGAGGCGCCTGTCACCAGGCCCAGCTATTTTATATATATATATATATATATTTTTTTTTTTTTTTTTTTTTTTTTAAGTAGAGACGGGGTTTCACTGTGTTAGCCAGGGTGGTCTCGATCTCCTGACCTCGTGATCCGCCCACCTCGTCCTCCAAAAGTACTAGGATTACAGGTGTGAGCCACTGTGCCTGGCCCATCCTAGTTTTTTTTTTTTTTAGAGACAAAGTCTCGCTCTTGGCCCCCAGGCTGGAGTGCAGTGGCACGATCTCAGCTCACTGCAACCTCTGCCTCCTGGGTTCAAGTGATTCTCCTGCTGTAGCCTCCCGAGTAGCTGGGATCATAGGCACCTGTCACCATGCCCAGCTGATTTTTTGTATTTTTAGTAGAGATGGGGTTTCACCATGTTGGCCTGGCTGGCCTCAAACTCCTGACCTCAGGTGATTCGCCTGCCTCCGCCTCCCAAAGTGCTGGGATTGCAGGCATGAGCCACTGTGCCCAGCCAACAAATTGATTTTTAAAAATCAACTTTCAGAAGTCTTCTTTTGGAAGAATCTTGCAAATTTCCTGGACCTGGATATAATCCACAATAGAAAAAGAATACAACACAGTGACAGTGTTCCAGCACCTTAGGAGATACATGTGAATCTGTTGTGGTTGATACTCGGGATGCAAGGGTAAATGAGAGGTGGTTCCTGCTTGTTAATCTTCATTCTAGTAGAGAATAACTGCACTGTGGAAGAGTTCACAAGTTGTAGGTACAAACTAAAGCTGGAGTTTTAGGGGTTGATAGATCTGGATTTTGAATCCTGACTTTAATACTTGCTTAACACAAAGTTAAGTTTTCTGATCTTTATATATAATAGGACTACTAAACTCTACCTTGAAGAATTTTTGTAAAGATCAGAAATATATGTAAAATGCTTAGCGTAGTAACTGGTCCCTGGTGGATACTCCTTAAGTAGGATTATTATCTGCTGCTATCATTTTGATAATTCTTTCAGGCTTTTTCTGAGTCTATAAAATGGGGATGATAATAGTACCCATCTCACAGTGATGGTCTGATGATTAAATGAGATATTACGTGTAAATCTGCTTGACATGGTGCTAGGTATATATACTTTATAGAAACTTAAATGCTTGATAAATTTGGTTTCACAAATGATAACAGTTCTGCTGGGAGTTAGCGAAAGAGAGGTAGTCAAGAAATGTTTTATAAGGGAAATGAACAAAGTGTGTACATAATTCTGAGTCTTGAAGCCCAGCCTCAGGATGTGACCTCGCTCAGTGGCTTGAGAGAACACTCTCTAGAGCCTAGATAACAGGGAGCATTGAGACACTGAACAGAGTTTGCTTTCTCTCCGGTGGCAGAGGGGAAGCTGCTTTGGGGCTTGAGGGGAGGATGCGGGTCTGTGGTGATGCCTTATTCTATTTCAGATCTATACTCTTTGCAGAATGCTTTGATCACATCGGGCCACAAATAGATTTCAGTCTGTGATCATACAGTTCTGATAATCGAGATTAAAGCTACAGGAAAACAACTCTCAGAACTTTGAAATCATTCTCATAAATGAGATTTTTAAAATGAAGATTATTAAATTATAATTTCCCCTTTTTCATTTTTACAATACAAATTTCATTTTGATGATGAAATATAGCATTTGATTATTTTTCCTACCTGTGAATAGTGTTTAAAAATTGTGGCAATTAATCTTCAAGATTAATTGAATTTCATAATGGTGCATTTTCCTCAACATGTAATTGGTGGTCTGCAGTAGTTCCTCTGAAATCTGCATCAGACAACTAAAAGCCACTGAATGTTTCCATCAGAGTAGCTGCGGTATTTTTCTGCCTATCTAAATTCCTATCTTGGTTTAATTCTTGCGCCTTTATTTTTGTGCTCGATAATAAACCTACTTATGATGCAAAACAGGCTTTAGATTGAGACTTATTTTTTGTTTTGTAGAAACAAGAGCCAATTGAAGTTAAACAAATCGTTTTAGACCTAAAGCTTTTTACTTAACTGACTGGATTAATTCAGTTGCAGTTGATCAGTCTTGAGTGCCCGCTATGTGGAAGTAGTAGAAACTGTTGTTCCTTGTAAAAGGATGGAAAATACATATGGAAAATAACATTTATGTACCCACCCCCCAGTTTGATGACTGTTCACTCATTTGTTTACTCATTCATTCAATAAATATTTATTGAGCACCCAGCTAATGCAGAAAATAAAGAAAGGTTTTAAGACAGAATATTCCTTAAATCAGTAATAGCACATAGTTGTCTACTGCTAGCTGAGGGAATGTTTCTCCTACTTTAAGAGAAAATAATGAGTAAATGTTCATACTTTTTAAATGCATATTAAGTTATGAATTCCTGGTAGGTTAAAGAGAGTATGCCCATCTGATGTCTTTTATCTTCTCTGTAACAGAGATATGGCAGGCTTACTGGAGGACGTATGAAATCAGTGAATTGTAGAGCTTCCTAGGCAAGCATTATTCAATTTCCAGATAGTTTTAACTGGCCATTTGAGATTTGTCTTCATGAGTTGAAAGTGGAGTTTATACTATGATTTCTCCAGCTGCTCATCTAAGCATGAAGAGGATGAGTGGGTAGGTTCAACATGGCTTGGGTTTACCAAGCAATTCAAACAGAGGGATAATAGGAGACAGGGGAGCTGGTTGTCTTTACAAGGGACGGTCATAACGAGGAACCATCCAGTATGAAGTAGACAAAGATTGGTGTGGAGTGAGAGGTGAGTTAACTGGGGATGGAACTCTTTGAACAAATGAGCTAGCAGGCTAGGAGGCAGTTGTTGAAGAACAGGATGTTTGAAAATTTTTTTAGGGCAGAAGTCAAGACACTTTTTGTGTAAAGGGTCAGAGTAAATATTTTAGACTTTGAGGAACGAGGCAAAATGGAGGGTATTATGAAAGTACAGAACAAGAGAGAAGACAAATTTGCACAAATTTTTGTGTTGATAAAGTTCATAATAGAGTGTAGGTTTCTAGTAACACAGGTGTGCTGCTGAAGAGAATGGGATGCTTCTTGGAGGAAGCGGGGATAACATTTCATGTGAGGTTCAAAATGGGTACACATATCAAAATAAATTGCAGATTTTAATCTCTTCAGGCTAATCTACAAGGAAATGGTACACATTTCATCTTTGAAAATGTGTTCACAGTGACAATTACTTGCAAGTATTGATATCACTCTTATCAGCTTTTAAAATTGAGTTTATTCATTGTTTAGAAGGCATTTCAAGAATTCCATTAGATTCTTGTCTTTGCTTTAGACTTTAAGCTTGTATTACTTTGCAGATTAATCACTTAAAATTGATGGTTAGATGGAAACACCTCAGCTGCACATTTAAATGGATTTTGAAGTATGTAAATCCTTTGCCTTTTCATTGGAGTCCAAAATATGCTGCTGCAACTGTAGTTTGAGGTCAGAAAATACATCTGCAAATTTTTGTAGAAATGGAAATTTCCCTTCTTGTTTTCACTTTTGACAGCATGGGAAGGGTGTGGAGCAGCTGAAGGTTATTATGATTCAGACTCTATTCATTGTTTCTTAATGTCCCATTTAAGTGGTCATAGATTATATGAGCTTTTCTTAATAGGAGATCGTTTTATTTCTTTAATATTTTTTGGGTATAACTCATGTTTATATCTTTAACATCAAGCATAATTACTGACACAATGTAAACTATATGAAAGGTACTCAGGAAACATTTATTGAATGCATATATCTAATATTTTTCTTTTAAAACAGTGTTGTTTATCCTATTCCTTTTGTTGTAGGTGAAGAGCGATTATATGTTAGAGATAGCTGATCAAGTGGACCAGGAAATTGCTTTGAAGTTGGGTTGTCTAGAAATACGGTAAGATGGTAACTATACATTGAGGCCTTTATCAATTTTTAAATTATTTTTGAATATTTTGCAGGTATTTTCCTTTTCTTCATAATGATTATCAGTGAAATACTGAATAAAATTTGAGTAAATTATGAACTGTTGGTTTGGTGCAAAGGTAATTGCAGTTGTTGCCATTGATTTTATTTATTATTCAGATGCCTCTCCCCCAGTTTTTATCATTTAACAACATAACCATTCTTTATATATACATATAAATGTATGTCTTCCCTGATTTTAGGCGATCATACTGGGAGATGCGGGGCAATGCCCTAGAAAAGAAGTCTAACTATGAAGTGTTAGAGTAAGTATTATACTTATAAGCTATACCTGCAAATATGCGGAACTAAATTATTTCGTAGTTTATCTTAAAATTAAATACTGATTCTGAAACACTACTATTTCTAAAATTTTATGTCTGGAAGAGGAAAAGAACAGAATCCTTGATGACATTAATTGTGTTAGTAAACATTTAGATTTGTTGATAGATGTCTTAAAGCTAATATTGTATATGGCCTGTTAACACACACATTTTGTCTGTGTAGAGTTAATCATAGCAAGGTGATATTTTTTCTAATTTATATTGAATTCTACAGCGGCCTATAAATTGCTTATAAATTATTGTTCGTATTCTCTGTATAAGTTACTACAGATTGTTTTTCACAAACGGAGATACGGAAGTTACTCACTGCTCGTGTATCAGAAAGATCTAGAATAACTAGAAATTTTTCCAATAATGAAATTAATTTGTGCATTAGACTGTTACATTAGATTGTATTAAATTAACCCAATCTGGAGTTTACATTGTGGGAGGCTAGAAGCCCTATACTTCATCTTTTTCATAATTAATTCAGCAAAAGATAATTGAATATTGAGTCCTTTCTAGCTAAGTGCCGGAGATTCAGAAATAAAACAAAATTTTAACCCCCAGGAAGCATTTCGCTAAAAGGAAGACTATCAGACAAGTAAGCAAAATTATAACATAATGTGCTAGAAATGAAAGTGGAAGTATCAGCTGGGTGTTTGCAGGAGAATGGTGCTTGATGTGTGAGGTGTTTTCACATCGAGATGTTATTTAACCTAAGTCTTAAAGAATGAGTGGTTCACAAAGTGTAGGTATGTGGGGTTTGTTGCATGGGAGCCAGGAAGCCAGTCAAGAGGATAAATCAACATTTGCAAAGGCATAGAAACATGGACCATCAGGCAAAGGTTAGGAAACTCTAAGTTGGTTGTGAGTAGATAGAATAGCATTCTTATGAGGGAGATAGGGACGTGTATACAGGGACCAGGTCGTTACCTCTCTAGCACATTCTTCAAAGAGTCTGGACTTAGCCTTTGAGCATCGCTGACTCATCATTTCAAGCAGGACAATTATATGATGAGATTCGCAAGTTAGAATTTCATATTTGTGAGATTAGAATTTTATTAAAGAAGACTAAAGATGGAAGCAGTGAGCCAGGAAGCTGCTGTACCTTTCTTGTCCATATGAGAATGATGAGGCTGTGAGACAGAAGGAAGCAGTGGCCATGGAGACATGGGCTAGCAGAGGCAGAGTCTGTGTGACTGGAGCCTGATTATATTTGAATCAAGGACAGGGAGGAACCCAAGGAGTCTCTTGGTTTTCTCTCATGGGCCACTATGGATACCAGTCACAGAAAAGGAGTGTGCTTGAGGAGAAAGAAAACAAGTTGCTTGGAGCATGTTGATTTTTAGTTCTAAGGGAACATTCATGTTTTTTAAAATGAAAAAGGAAAAATCACTGTTCGTTTATTTCACTGTTATGAAATCACAAATACCAGCAGCATTAAAAATCATCTCTTATGGTACTCTGTGCTTAGATCTTGGTTTCTAGTACCATTCTTCAGTGGAAGGAACCAGAGCTCCTTGGAAAAATGCAGTTCGAAGGAGAGGAGAAAAAATACAAGGGTGAGCCCTAGAGCTGCTTGTAGTGCCAGAAAGAAGGAAGTGCTCAAAAAGCAAAACGATGGGGCCGTGTCAAAGGATGAAGGAGCCAGTGGAAAAAGTTCCCAGTGACAAAAGCTGGAACAATTCGAGCAACAAATTAAGTTACATAGTATTAGATTATAACCCAAAGTATGAATACCCATGAATCCATAGTAATATAAATACTTGAATCAATAAATATTTAAAGAAGCAGTGACAAATTTCCTCTACAGAAAAATTCCAAAAAATTTATATAGATTCCCTCTCTCAATGGAGGTGGGAATCTCACCTCTTAACATATGAGCTACATTTAGTGGCTTGTTTCTAAAGAGTATAATAAGGAAAGGAGGTGTGGGGAAAAAGTAACTTTACAGTGAAGAAACCTGACAGGCATGACCTCAGCCAGGTGGTCAAAGTCAGCATCACCAGTGATCAGTAGTGTTGATAGTGTGCAACCATGATGTAATGTGTTGAGAAAGACACTTTACCTCTGTAGCCTTCCTCATAACAAAACCCCATAACCTGAGTCTAATCATGAGAAAAAACATCAAACAAATCCGTCTTCAGGGACATTTTACAAAGTACCTAACCAGTACTCCTCAAAATTGTCAAGGTGATGAAGGAAACAGTGGAAGTCAGAGAAACTCACATATCTAGGAGTTGCCTAAAGAAACATGATGATTACATGTAATGTCGTGTCCTCGATAAGATCTTGGAACAGAAAAAGGATAGGGAAAAAACTGATGAAATCTGAGCACAGAGTTTGTTAGTCATAATATATTCATACTGGTTTATTATTCGTGACAAATGTACCAAAGTAATGCAAGATATTAATAGTAGGGGGCCTGGGTGGGGGCTATACAGGATCCTCTCTTTGTAACTCTTTTGTAAATCTAAAACTATTGTAAAATAAAAGGCCTATCTAAAAAGAAAATCCTGATGGGAGAATTAAGCAAGTAGTTAGAGATGATCTAAAAAGGTACAGTAGATGGCGAATAGTTATGTGAAGTCAAGAGAAGAGTGCTAGTTCAGTGGCCTGACTGAGTTACATACAGGGAGAGGACTCCAGGAACACATGTGATCATCTTTCAGGGTCACTGTGGAAGCCTACCCTAGTGTAGTGACTGGGGAAAAAGAATAATGTGATTTGTATTCCACCTATCTCTATGTGAGGCCAAGACAGGAAAATGAAATAGTAACTGAGAGATAGAGTCTGTGTGAGAACCAGAGGTGTACAAAGGAATGAAGACAGCCAGACATACTGTCAGAAGGATACAGGAAGAGAGATACTTGAAAGAAATTTCCACGAATAATACATTGACATGTTTTTAATTGCCAAAACAGTTAAAGAAAAGCAGATTATCTGTCAAGGTGAATTTCTGAATGGTACGTTTGGAGAGAAGAATTTTAAGTTTAAGATCTGTTTGAAATGAAAGTCAGATTTTGCACTGAAGTTGGTGTAAATTGGGCTTATTTCTAGAAATTACAGAACTTCAGATGATCAGAGAAGAGATGAATAGAAGAGGACAAATTAGGGCTTTAACCAGTGCTTTCAAAACGTTACATAGTTTTTGTCAGGGGTCAGTGAAATGGAGAATATGAGAATTGCTATACATGTCTACGGCCATACCACCCTGAACGTGCCCGATCTCGTCTGATCTTGGAAGCTAAGCAGGGTCGGGCCTGGTTTGTACTTGGATGGGAGAATTGCTATACATAAGTAAGGGCTTGTGATTATTATTGCTTGAAACAGGAGAACTAGACAGCATGAGTTTGTAAATTAGATCCTTCTTAGAGGACTGCATGGAAAGTTGAATGATCTGTTGTTTTGATATGGCTGTTTCATCTTAGTTAATTTATATGTGCGATATTTAAAGTAAGTAAATATGACAGTTAAAAGAAAGAGGAATCTTGAGTTTCTTGTAGTTCTAGGATATTATTGTGCTTATTTTGCTGTCCCCTCTTTCTAAATTCCTGTGCTTTTGTTCCATGATACTGATTCTTTGCAATTATACAACTTGTGTGAATTCAGCACCCTGTCTCCTTGTAAGTAGATTAGTTGAGTGACTTCTTGAAGCAGAATATCTGGGTTCAAGTCCTTATCACACCTTGACTATTTTATTTGCCAAGTTTTATTAGTAAGCTCTTGGTGTCTGTTTCTAAACGTGTAAAATGGGGATATTGGTGATACATATATAGGAGCGTCGTAAGGAGTTAGATGAGATAATTTATGTCAAGAGCTTAATACATATTGTACCCAACACTGAATAAATGCGGACTGTAATTATGATTATTATCCATGGAAGATACTGATTGTCAGTCAGGATAAAAACCAAACTGTAGAGTTTCTTTAAAGAGCATTAAGAAAAAAAAATGATAGAAAGCAATGTTATTGTTCATCTGTTGATTTAATTTTGAGTCCTTTTAAAATGATTTTTAATTTATTTGTTTTCAAAGGTAATAATACATTCTAGTTAGAGAAACATTGAAACTACACTGTCAAATAAGAAAATTTTTTCAACTCCTCTTACTGATAACCATCATCATAATTTTAGTAAATATCCTTATAGCTCTCTGTTTTAACACTTGTGTGCGCATTCAATGCATAGTTTTAATATAAGTGGAATGATCCTATATGCGTCTTGCTTTTTTGTTCAACTTTATATTTAATAGATCTTTCCATGTGACTAAATAGAAATATACATTAGTATATAGTCCACCCAATGAGTATATAATACTATATTTAAACAGCCACATAATAGTGGACATTCAGTTCAGGTTAATAACAGTGTAAGGCATGGTGCCATTTTTTGTTCATTTTTGCCTATGTGATAGGCAACAGATGATAACTTGCTTTATATTAGTTTGATTACTGGTGATATTAAACCTCTTTGCATATATGGCCATTTTTAAGTTTTTTTTGTAAATTAACTGTATTTTAAATAAGCTTTTCTAATATGTTTATTTTTTCTTTATTGATCTTAAGCAGTCTTTGTCATGTTAACACTATCTTGTAATGTTAGTTCTGTATTTTCTTTCCTAGCTCGTCATTTTCTTTCAACTATATGTATATGGCTCTCATCATACAGAAGTTTGTCTTTCTTTAATGTAGTAAAATCATATTTTCATTTTGGTTTTTGAGTTTTAAGATCCTATTTTTACAAAGGCATTCCAGAAGTTAAGATTGTTAAATGTTTGTTTTGAAACTTTTGTGCATTCATTTCTGTTTTTACATTTTCAAATGTGTGGGTTTTAAAAATATTTTCTTTTTAAATTAACTTTTGACTTAATGACATTATGCTCAGATAGCATGGTCTGTGTGACAAGAGCCTCTCAACTTTTGTGGAGCCTGCCTTTGTG